ATAATATATTTCGTAATTTGGAATGGAAATATTCTTTTGATTATATTATTTTATTAGAAAATGTGTTTTTTCAGATTATTTTTATATTAATATTTATTTCTGATTCTATTTCAGATTTCATTTCTGATATTTAAATTATTTCTAAAAGAATATTATCAAAAACTCAAAGTTTACAAGATTGCTTTATTAAGCAATTTGTTAATAAATCTTATATAGATTATTATTATAAAAAAGTAAAGATAAATATGAAATTATAGAAAAGTCTTTAATATAATTATATATTGTATAACAATTATCTAATTATAATATTATTGAAAGATAATTATCATCAAAAGGGAAATAAATAACTATTTGTTTAAATATTGAAGATAGATATAACTTTAAAAAAGTAAAACATAATAATTGATCTAAATTATTAGAAAAGGGGATATAAATACCCCCTCTAGGTTATCACGTGACTTTAATATTATTGATTGGTTTCCTTATATTATAATATAAATAGAAAATTATAATAATAGAATTGATAGCTTTTTTCTATTTCCTAGCTTATATTATATATATAATGTTGAAAGTTATAATGCACCTAGGGAATAGTTCGTTGTAGCTCTTTTAATCTCTTGATATTTTATTATAGAGTTAAAGAATTGAAGAAGAAAGGAGAGCTTTAGGAATAAGTAACTATACTTAGTCAGCCAGGTTCACTATTATACTAACGACTTTCAATATATCCCTTTATTAGAAAAGCAATGAAAAAGCCTTCTAGTCCTATATAATACTTTTCTCTTTTATTCTGAAAACTAATTTATATAAAAGGTAAGTTTTCCTGGACTAGCATCTCTTATTCTGCTATCCTTCTCCCAGTATCTTTTACTCTATTTATTCTGAATAAGTTGTAAATTATAAAGTTGATTAATCGGCTAATAAGATTGAATATATATATTCTAATGCCTTAGCAAAGCAGAGATTGTATCATTATAGATTACAAATATATATATTTGAGACTTTGAATTTTAGGCTTGTTATATACCAAAATACTTATTCTAATGCCCAGCAAAGCGAAGATATATATCGATATTGTTATAGATTGTATATGCCTATTCTAATATTTGATAAGGTAAAGATACATGACATTATAGATTGCAAATGTTTATTCTAATACCCGGCAGAGCAGAGGTTGTTGTATATATTTGAGGCCTTGAATCTCAGGCTTGTTGTATGCCGAAATACATATCGTTATAGATTGCAAATGCCTATTTTAATGCCTAGTAAAGCAAAGGTTACGAATCTATCTTGGATCCGAACACATATCGTTCTGTAGATATCGTAGTATTGTCAAAGTATGACGATATTACCTTTTCTTGCTGTGAGGCTAGAGAATAATCTTGAAATGTATATTACACTTGTGATTGCAGAGTGTCTATTATGATACCTGGTAAGGCAAAGGTTTTGTTTCATTGAATCGATACTCTAGATGTTGAAATGAATTACAGATTTATAATCAATAATATTGATGGTCTTTATATCGTTATTATCATGTGACCGAAATGAGATAAAGTCTGAATATCCTCAAAATCATCAAAATCGGTGATATCGATATCGTATTGATTGTCCCGATTAGCTAGTGGATACATGTAGCCAGACTTATAACCTGTTGAAAGTTATAATATACCTAAAGAACAGTTTGTTGTGGCTCTTTTAATCTCTTGATATTTTGTTATAAAGTTGAAGGATTGAAGAAGAGAGGAGAGCTCTAGGAATAAGCAACCATGCTTAGTCAGCCAGATCCACTGCTATACTGACGACTTTCAATATATAATTCAATATAATAGCTTTCTTGGACTTTCCTTTTATAGCTTAAAGCTTTAGTTTTATAACTCTAGATCTAGATATTGTATATCTAGGACTCTTTCACTCTTTTGGGCCTAGCCCTTATAACTTCCAATATCTGTATATATAGTCCTTTTTTTAGTACTCTATATAGCTTTTTATTTATAGATTCTAAATATACAATTAGAGTTCTGTCTATACTCTTTTAATTATAATAATATAATAATTATTTAATTACTAAAAGATAATTATAATCAAAAGAGAGTAAAGTAACTATTTATTTAAATTTTGAAAATAAATATAATTTTGAAAAAATAAAATATAATTATTAATCTAAACTATTAGAAAAGAGAATATAAATACTCTTTCTAAACTATTATATAACTCTAATATTATTGATTAGTTTCTTTATATTATATATAATTCAAATCCATATTCAATATTCTCATTCTAGATAAATAATAAAAGAAAACATTTATATACACTATACTATCCTAGTCTGAGTTAGTATTAATCAAGATCGATATAGATATAATAATATAAAGATAAGAATAGAATCCTGAATTTTGCCCCCTTAGGCGGTGACAAGTATTGCACTTCCCAGCCACTCAAATTAAGCTTAAACGCCTCAAGCCCCAGCCTCACCAAAAATCCATCCCTGTGGTAACCACCCATACATAACCAAGACACCTGCAGACAAATAATTTGGTACCTGACACTGCAACAGCTGGCAATGCAATGCACAATGCACTCGGTGAGGAGATCCTCCAATTCATCATCATCGCGTGGCACAATTATTTGATTCCTTGATTACATTCAAGCCTGTCAATTGTACTCAAAAGATTTTCCATAAAATCGCAATTTCAACCACTGAGTATTTAGATATCTGTCTCTCGATATCTGTCGCGTAAGATAAGGTTAATTTTTGGGGAGTTTAATTTTGCGGGGAAGTCAATAAACCAGGTGGTTGGGCAACGAAACTTGGAATAAATTAACGGGTACTTTTCTCTTCTTCATTCCTCGGACTATCCTATACTTCTTCATTGCACGCATTCCTAAGATTCATACTAATCATTAAAGTTAATCCAGACCTGCAATCTCCATACCCAATACGCTAAAATGCGTTACCCATATTCATTCCTCGCCTTCTCCCTCCTCACCACCACAACCAGAGCTCTTCAAATCCCTTCACTCCTCTCACCACCCGAACCCTTTTACGCACCAATCTCCCTCGACCTCAATATCTCTTCAGAATCGTCTTTAATATCAAATGAAACCACCTTCCCCGATACCTCCCCCGCCTCCTCAAAACCCAAAGTCGAACTAGTCAAACGCGCAGGAAACTGTCCTTCAAACTTTAACTCATGTTCTACTTTCAATGCCGCAGATGGAGGTGCATGTTGTCCCACATCAGCAACTTGTTCGACCGATGCTTCCCATAACATAGCATGCTGTGCCATCGGCGCATCATGTACCGGCACTGTCACAATCTCTCCCACAACCGGAACTCCCGCATCTGTTTCTGCGACTGTAACCGGAGCATACGTTTCAAACGCCTATTTCCCATTCCCGATCTTGCCTACCAGTTATGCCAACTCTGCAGCATGTGCTAGCGCTACGAATTCTTGTGCTAAGAATTATGCGCTTTGTACTGTTGATCTTGAGGGTGGAATGGGCGGTGCTGTTACGGTATCGGCTCCAAATGGTGGTGTCACTGTGGCACCTAGTACTCCCAGTGGAGGATATTTGGGATCAGTTAGTGCGGCGAGTGTTTGTCAGAGTTTGAGTAGCGTTGCATGTGCTGCCGTGGAAAGTGCGGGATGTGGACAATTTGGAACGAAGGCGGCGACTACAACTGATAGTTTTGTTATTGGGACGAATGGAGTTGGGGCTATGATTCCGAGACCGACCATGATGAATTGTTTGCCATATGCGGCTGCTGCAGCTGGAGTTATGGGGTTTGTTATTTAAGGTGAAGTGGGGAGATATGGAAGGGTTCTTAGGTATTGCAATTAACGAATGAAATAAGACGTCACGGTTTCTTTATATAACCAGTATGAGAGTATGAGAATGATATTGGCATGGCGGAAATGTAACGAGGGAGGGGATATGCAACAATGTCATGATATAATTTTGGGTTGGTTAGATATAGCGGTATGCATGACATTCTTTGTTATGTGACGAAAGCGAAAGGGTTAGCGAGCGAAGGAAACGTGTGTACAAAAGCTTGATGAGCGAATACCTATATTGAGCGAGCGAGCATGGATTTGGAGTTTGACGATTAATGAATCTGGATGAGGTTTACGATGTAGATTGATATGAGGATGATGGATGGAAATCATCAACAAGTATCACATCTATATAGATATCAATTTGTATAATTTATAAATACACATCTTGACAATCGGTAGTCTTTATACTCATTCTTGATGTGGCATATATCAATTCTGAACTTGAGATCATCGTAGGGCATCGCAGGACTTAAAAATAACGAAGCTGACTGCGATTCCTCGACGAGATGTTGTATTTGTATACTCACATACTATACTCTAGTACTTGTAGACAGATGTATGATTTGTAGATTATGAATAATTCTTACTAGATGCTAGGCAGGACATATGGAACCGGTATGTAACATTGTAACATTTGCTAAGACAGCTAGCTTGTCTTCCTTGATTGACATTTTCGACTATTTATACCGCTAGTACTATATTGCATCATACCCCGCACTCCCGCGCTCCCTCTAACTCTACTTCAACCTCATATCTTACAAATCACCTCGCAGTTATCTCGGTATCGCAATACTACCTATTATTTTTAAGAGGGACCTTCTCTCCATCCAGACTCCAGAGTAAGACTTAATTAAATAAGAAGCATCCACTCCCCAACTCATATCACATTTCTTCTACCTCTCTATCTCTTCTTCCCCTCCACCTCATCCTATCACCATCTCACCAACTTCATCCTCACCTCAATACCAAAAAACCATGCCTACCTTCTTCCCAGGTTTCATATCCCAATCCATCCCCTCCTCCGAAGGAATTTCAATCCACACACTCACCGGACCAATAACCGGTCCTCCACTCCTCCTCATCCATGGATTTCCTCAAACACATCATATATGGCATTTCGTCACCCCACACCTCGTTGATAAATATACAATCGTATTAGTCGATTTACGAGGCTATGGTTTGAGTTCTAAACCACGTGCTAGTGCGGATGGGGGACATGTGGAATATAGTAAGAGTGTTATGGTTCGTCCTGTCCTTTTCTCCATTTTATTACATTCTCTTCCAAGCCAAAATGGCAATACTCGAGTACTGCATAACAAGAAATTATACTAACGCAATACACCCCAAAGGGCGAAGATTGTCTCGCCGTAATGAAAACTCTCGGCTACCCACAATTCTCCATCCTAGCCCACGACCGCGGCGCACGAGTCGGACATCAACTAGCCATTAACCATCCAGAAGCCATTACCAAACTCATGGTACTTGATATTCTGCCCACATTAACCATGTACGAATTAGGAAAACAAACCTGGTACCAAAAATACTGGCACTGGCAATTTCTATCTCAGGCCTCTCCATTTCCCGAATCCGCTATCTTATCCGATCCTTCTCTATTCGCCGAAAAGTTCCTCGGGGTAGCGGGTGTGGGTGGAAAGGACGTGGTATTTCATGAGGATGTAAAGAGCATTTATGAGGATATGCTGAGAGATGAGGAGACGGTGCATGGAATGTGTGAGGATTATAGAGCGGGGAGCTCGATTGATTTGGAGGAGCAGAGGAGGGATAGGAGGGCGGGGAGGAAAATTCGGTGTGAGGTTTTTGTGGTGTGGGGTGGGAAGGGAGCTGTGGAAATTGAGTTTGAGGATGTGCTGGGGCTTTGGGGGGAGGTTTGTGCGGGGGGTGTAGAGGGGTGTAGTGTGGATGGGGGGCATTATGTTCCGGAGGAGTGTCATGGGGAGTTGGTGGAGTTGGTTAGAGGTTTTTTTTAGGTTGGGTTGGATAGGCTAGGTAGGTTGAGGAATGGATAATGTTGTTTGAGCTTTACATGAGGTTGTGGTTATATTCCTACTATTTCTCTATTTGGTCTAAAAATAGTATCTCGGTGTAGAAAAATGAATGTGGATATTATAAAATTGTTGTCAATTCATCACTAATATATATATTTTAAAACACGTCTTTATTTGATTGGCTGTTCAAAAAGTACGGATAGTCTATGCGGGAATATCAAATTGAAGAAAAGAGGTTTTGTTAATATACTTAAATATTATCATAAATAGAACACTATTAAGTTAGTATATTTTGTTCTTTTGACTATAAGCTTTTTTATAATATAATTTTTTATATTTATATAATCGATAGTTATTGAATAAGTGATTATTGAAATGTTTTTGATAAGTTGTAAATCGAAAGTTTTCAGATTTAGTATAAATATGATTCTGATTAGATCTTTTCATTATTAATCAGAATTTAATATATAGACTATCTCTTCAAAACTCTGAATAGCTTCAAAGTTTTATTAATAATAGTATATTATCAACGATATATCAGTTCCCCGAGTTTAAAGCGAGGATAGGGGTAGATTGCATTGTGTTATCTATTAATACTATATTGATTATATTCAGATTCAGATTCAAAGTTCAGAGTTTAGAATTTATCAAAATTCAGAACTTGAATCTACCCTACATTTTAGTTTAAAGCTTGATGTTATCCCTTTCAAAATTCATATTTATATTGAATATATATAGCTACACAGTACGAGTGAAGGTGAAGGCCTCTTTAGGTCTCATAGGCCCTGAAGGGGCCCGAGCCAAGCTCGTTAGTGATAAGACTTAAGATATATATCTACTCGCATATATAAATAAATAAGATTTCTAATAATAATACGAATAGAAAATAGTAATGAACTACTCGTATCAATAGATCAATAACAAAGAGTAACAACTAGTAGCGATTACTAAAAGCATCCTTAGAAGTATCGCTTGTGGCTCAATAAATCTTTCTAGTTTCAATATACTCGTAGAAAGATAAACGATTCATGTAAGCACCAATTTTAATTTTTGCTAATCATATCATCTGCCTACATCCTTTGAGGTATTTTGGGTTTATCAAAGAGTTAACAGATCAAGGATAGACAAAACGAACTAGAAATTTATACCCCTAGTTTGGTTATAGTAGGCTTTTTTCGGTGTCATCGTAGAGTGGAACAAAAATTATTCACTTTTCCAAAGACCTTGAAGTTTTCTCCGTCTTCTACCGTGAGTCTACAATTTGGCAGAGAAAACCCTATATATAAACATCAACTAAAGATCGGAATTATCATTTGCGGATCCCCAGTTTTTTCCAGACAAGAGTGGTCTACGCTCCAAGTGGCATATCTGTTTAAGTCGTCATGTAATCGAGAAATGGGCCTTCCAATTCTTGACATTTGCCAAAACTTGCTTTGGTCTAACCGATTTGAAGATTGACTATTGCGCCTATAATAGGAGGTTATGAATTCGACGGAGAGTGAGTGGAAATATGGCATGAAGTTTCTCGACTGCTTGCTGGCGCGTGGAGTCTTGCCCGGGGTACATAGGGGGTCTGAATCACAGGGAGAAGTTGCGAGGGTTCTGGATGAATCATTCAGAGAGTGGTGTAGGGATGCAGAGCTTGATATATGGGTGAAGGTGGCCTTAGCCAGTACCTGTGATGACGAATGTCTCGCTACTGCACTTTCCATCTTGTACTGTATATAGGTTCTTTGGATTTTATTTGATGATTTGGACTAGCCTCATTTATACAATTTCCCAGAAGATGAAGATGAAGATGAAAAAGTAAGACTTAAGAGGTGATTTGGGTAGAGTGAGTGGTGGTGGAGACGCTGGAGAGCGCTAGTGAGCCTACGATTGATAGATCAAACTCAGCTGATAAACAGTGAGGTCAAGATGTCAAGATCGTCAAGTTTAAGTTTGTAGAAAACCCCGAAATAAATACAGGTCGGAGTTGTAATTATATAATACAGCAAAGCAAGTACTCTTTATAAACAATTTATCAACTAGAATCATCATGAGATATAAAGATGAAGGTGAAACAAGAACCACTTCCTTTTCTGAAAACCTTGAAGATTTCTTTGACCTTCCACTTTGGTATCAGATTCGTTGTTAGAAAAGATCAAATATCTTTTTCGATTCATATAAACAAGAAGGTTCTGGATTAACTTTCCGCCGAGTCTTCAAATTTAGAACACAGGTGGCGTACTTGCCATATCTAGTTCTGCCTTGAGAAGAATGTTACGAAGGACAAAAAGATCGAGGCCTACTTGTAATACAATATGATAAAAGACTTTAGTTTTGTGATTAGATTCTATAATATGAAATAAATGATAGATAGATCGGTTCAAGAAGTTTACTATTACAATAATGTTTCGTTTGCATTGTTGCAGAGATTGTTGCGGTTGTAACAAACGATATTATACAGACAGCGGAAATTTTCTCGTCTAGCGTTTGCACTGTGAACATATCCAGATTATCCAATATTTTCATTAGATTCTTCGAAATCGGACCTCAAAATATCATATAATGCGGGGTTGGGTCAGTGCACCCAATGTTAGACTGGGACTTTCTGGTGGCTGCAGACTCGGTGCCGGGTTGAGATCTGATAGACAATCAGTATGGAGATGAAAGTGGATGAATTTAGAATCAAATAGCCAAAGGTGACTTGATGCTGGAACCACCTGCATCTAACCAATAAAGAGCTGGAACCTTCCAGAGGTACCAACAGCTCATATATAACGTTACCGCTACCTCTCAAGCACCTGGCTCAGAGATTAGAAACACTACCAAATCCCCTTCAACTATCATTACTGGTTGACCACTCCAGTATTCTACTGTATCTCCAGATTCTCCGCCACCTTAACACTTCACTTCCAGCGAAACTCAACATGTCCCACAAACGTACCAATAAATCGACAAAAGCGGAAATCTATTTGGATCGAATATTTGCTTCAGGAACCTTCAAAAATGTTTGGGTATGCTATTGCTGTCTTTTTGACGTTACTGCCACGCCTTCCTTTTCCAATTAATTATGGTGCTAATTTTTTCGGCAGACGGGGCGCTATACGGAAGGTAGAAGAAAGGGCCAACGATGTGTCTCCAAGGAGTTCAAGACCGGCTCTGTGTTTGAGAAACACTTCTTCGATGAAGAACTTCGAATAATCGAACGTACACAAGAGATCATTGATGATTTCCACGCCGCGAACATCATCTTAGGAAAGGACATTATTCTCAACACGCCCGATGTTTGGACATACACAGAAAGTAGACATAAATGTCTCATCGAACCGATGATTGACAACTTTCAAAAGTTCAACAGCAACAGTGGATGGGCTGCGTCTGAGAATATATGGGATGATGCAATGCAAGCTTTGAGTCACTTCTCCTACCACGACTCCAACCGACAATTCCTGTTGTGTGATCTCCAGGGAGGCTCGTACAGCAATGGATAGTAAGTGCACTTTTAGCCACATCTCTTTGATAGTTCTTTCGCAGAATTCATCCTCTCTATCGACATGTTCTCAGTGGCTAACGTATCTTCCAACTCGGTAAATAGCATCCTCTCAGACCCTGTCATCATGTCACAATCTCATGACTACGGGCCAGCGGATTTGGGACCTAATGGAATCAACTCCTTCTTCCGGAGACATCATTGCGGACGATTTTGCAAACGACAATGGCTAAAACCTGCAATCTATGGGAGTGCTTTGATTCCAATGCGGCAAGGAACCACTATGATTTCACTCCCAACTCGTCAAAATCGTAACCCTCTGTCGAGAGTACGTGAGTGAGAATCTCAATGCCCGAAGTCGTGAGAGAAGAGGGAAATTCAATGGCCATATGCTCCTATGACTGGTATTCGCAGTAGGTTCGGTCTTCTTGAGGCAATGATAGCTGGGATATTGCAAAGTAAATGCGCATGATGATGACGCATATGCAATCTTTGAGGGTTAGGAACTGATTCTCTTCGCTCCGTAGCTTTTATCCATGAATACACATGTCGGTGCTATATTGTTCTCTTATTCCTAACTGAATGTTTGGGGGTATCATCATTTGCCTAAAACCAGTTGTAGTCGATGGTTGGTGACCTGTAAATTTTCGGCATTCCATCATCACCACACCGTTGAGGGTTCTACAAAACCAGTGAGTAGCCACAGTTCATCAAGTGAAGTAGAAGTTTAAAGTCGAGGCTCAAATTTGATACTTGAAATTGAAGTTGAGGTTTAAATTTTGAGGAACTAATTAATGACTGTGTGAGTGAGTGCCAGTCACGTGGATACCCGTATTAGCTAAGCTCGGTGTCGGATAAATATTTCCACGGAATTACTAGGTAAGGCTTCAAATCCGGATCCATCCGAAGTTTCCGAAATGCAGCCAAAAAATCAAAGAACGAATCATATTTGTTGCGTAGACATATTTACTGTGGTGGCGGCTGTGTGGCTTGACTAAGAACAAAGAAATAATAATTGATTTTCTCATCACCAATGAGGTGGGTTCGAAAATACCTTTACAAAACATCAATATCGTAAATAGATGTGAATTACAATCTTAGGCCCATATATTGACCAAAAGAGAGGTCCCCAAATTCCAATAAACCCATTCTAACGTTAACGCCGGGAACTCTGGAAGCAAAGCCTCAAACGACTACGCGGTTTAGAATGTCTATCAAACCTTTCATCTATCATACATTCACAGCAATAACTTTATAAGAGTGACATTCCATGTCAATAATAGGTCGTGTGAATCATTTCCTCATTCACTTGAGTCTCATCTCACATCACATCTCACTTTCTTGAGGAAGTAGAGTTCATCACCATCGATCCCTGGATCAGCCAATCAATAGCGACAAAATTGACTTCTTGAATGTCTGTACTTCTTGGCAATAACACAGCCTCAAGATTCTTACATTACATTACAGTAAACGCAAAAATTCTTTGTCGTCAGTAGACACTTACCCGTTCAAAGTGAATTTACCTTCCTCTTTCCCACGACTTTGGGAGAATCTTTCACGATGAATTCCATCATCAAATCTCGAAACAATGGAAAAGTCTCCATCACAGTCGTCCTCTCATACGTGTCCGATTGGATAATCTTGATTATTGCTGGAGCTTTAGGAGCTGTATTCTCCTATCAAACACCCAACAAACGTCCTTTCTCAGTTGTCGATCCAGATATCAGTTATCCACATCAAAACCACGAGAAAATCTCGACAGGTTTACTGGCCGTGTTGGCCCTCGTCGTCCCCGCACTCATCATTCTTCTCGTTACATTTACTCTCGTACCTGGACCAACTGTTCCAAAATCGATACCAAAAGCTCTGATATGGAAACGGAAATTATGGGAACTTCACGCATCTTGGCTCGGGCTTGGATTATCTCTTGCCTTGGCATTCGTCATCACCAATGGGATGAAGAATCTTTTCGGGCGACCACGACCAGATTTGATATCGAGATGTGATCCTGACATGGCCAATATCGCCAAGTATGCTGTTGGAGGTGGTACCAGACCTGAAGGAATTGTTCTAGTTGAAGCAGGGATCTGTCGGCAAACAGATAGCTCTATCCTTAATGATGGGTTCAGATCGTACCCCTCTGGTCATTCATCATTTTCTGCCGCGGGACTCGTCTACCTTAGTCTTTTCCTTGCATCCAAACTTGCCTTGACTGTCCCATTTCTGGCACCTCGATCTTACACCGCCGATTCCTCGCCATATCACTCCGCATTTCCCTCCCGCAATCCTCCACGCCATCAACGAAATGAGTCCGACCTCTCTGGCAAAAATCTGGATAGTTCAGCAGCTCTCACGTCCGGCCACAACGACAACTTGATCGCCTCACGTAACCAAGCTGCAGCGCCACCCCTCTACCTTCTGCTCATCGCTATCATCCCTACCTTATTATCCATCTATGTCTGCTCTACTCGCTTCTCCGATTTCCGACACCATGGCTTCGATATCTTATTCGGTTTCTTCATCGGTACCACCGTCGCCATCTTCTCATTCCGCTTCTATCATCTCCCTCTCTCCCAAGGCGCAGGCTGGTCGTGGGGTCCTCGAAGCTCAGATCGTGCGTTCTGGGCTGGTGTGGGCGTGGGTAGTTATGTGAAAAGTCCGAATAGTCCAATAGGGGGACTGCATCATCATGACCATAATACAAACTATGAAAGTCATGGTGCAAGGATGGGCGATTTGGAGGAAGGACGACTGGACAGTGCACATGGTCACGATAGAAATGTGAGCAATTTTGAAGTAGGGAATAATCCGAATTCGATGACGATGTAATGTCTGTTGATGAATGGGATGGGTGTTAACGACTGTTTGTAGGATGATATCGAACTTTTGCCAAGGGTTACGCAGGCGATTGGTCTGTAATGTTGATATGATAGTTCAGGGCGTTTATGAACATGACGATTCCGAATTTTTGAAAGCTTAATCTTGCGATCGGATATGTTAAAATATTGGTTTATATTGTGCTGAGTATTGACTTCAGCACTGGAGATCATTAAAGAGCATCAAGCGAGGCGTTTGAATTAAAATGTGGACAAAATATCTCTATTTCCGTTATTTCTGTAATTGAACTCTTTTATTTTACCCTATATTAGGCATCGTGTGATCGTGTGTACTTGTTTACTGTATTATTTGTACTCTGGTATAGTTATCTGAAGGTAAGCCCTTCACAAACTTCAAATCTGCAACTATGTTATTATTTGGCAGAATTTCCAATCATTCTAATGTTAGTGTGTAAGCAAAATCAAAAGTCATCGTCAGACTTCTCCTCATTGCATTCCTCTCTTCAAGACGGTTATCGGAACTTCTCTAAACTCCGAGAGATACTTCAAGTCTCTAACTCCTTCTAAGAACACCAAGATCTGTATTTGTACATGATAAAGGCTGGGCCATACCCCGATAGGATAAAGCTATACCGTAAATGTACATACATCAACAGCACTTGCGGAGGTAAAGCAGAACCCAACCAGGGAAAATCACAATACTACTGTATTCTATATATGCATTCACAGTCCGATATACTACACCGGGCCTAGAAGGAAGTGTTATGAAGCGACACTATCTCCAAAATTCGTTGCTGTCGCCGAGCCGAACGCAAAAGAAGCCCCGGTGATGATGTATCTTGGTACTAACCTTGTGGCAGTCTAATACGCATTGCGAATGTACCAAATCCGAATTCAATTGTCAGTTCTGGATGGCTGAGCCTCTTCCAATGCATGCTGCTGGAAATTTTCGAGGTGATATGATAATTATGAAAGATTCCTACTGT